AAAAAAAACTTTTGTGACAGTTTTGCAAAAATCTTGTTACTGATATTAATTTTGATATTGATCATTTACATACAGTATTATACAATACAAGCTCTTCTACAAGCGCATCCATAGAGGCGACAAAATAGTGAGGGCGCCATCTGCGACACCCCCATTCAACCCTAACTATACTCCCCCTGGTCCTCACTTTCAGCTGCAACTCCACCCCGGTTCTCACTTCCATCCGCAACACCCTCCACATAACACCCCCAAACTGACCCCATGAACTACTGTAAAGAACTTTACTGTACTGTAAAGTTTCTATTAAGCTCTGACAAAGTCTTGTGTAGTCTTTTCTGATCCTTCCTTTAACATATGGCCAACAAATCTCCCGTTTTAAGCATTTAGATTGCTGAAGCACTCATCAGAAACATGGCGGAAACACAGCACAAGGCTGGGGTTATAATGCTTAGGTATTCTTGCAAAAATAAACAACCACTAATTCTGGACACATCTTTGGGTAGAAAAGATAACACTAACTTTCCCACACATTTCAGAGCACAGCATCTATTCGACTTGATTCAACCGAGATCTGCTACAGTGTTTGTCTTTTATAGATGAATCAATAGTTTTAAACCTCAGATTTAAGCCTCAGCTGGATATTTCACTTCACTTAGAGCTGTGTTACACACTGCAAGCAAGGCCATTTTCAAAAACCCATAACAGGGGCTCTTAAACCAAACTAAACTAACCGTGTTGCCCTACATTAAGACGTCAAAACACTATAATTACTAAAATGCAAAGACAAAAATATAAAAACGGCTAAATTACAAAAACGATTAAATGATAATAAAACTAAAAATACAACATTTAAATGATTTTAAATAATCAGTAGGACCCAAAGACAAATGCTAATAATTAATATTGATAAAAAAGCACTCATCACTTATCAACTCATTGATTTCTTCAAAAAGAAAAAAGTAAGAGAGGAAACTTCAAAATATGTTTTTTATTACAATATGTTCCACAAAGGAATAAAAATAGGTTTGAAATGACCAGAGGTTGAGAAAATGATTAACAATTTTGTATTTAATTTTTTATATCTCAAAAAACAGAAGTATTTTGTTCACTACTGCTTCTCTATAACAAACATAAAAATGTTGATCTATTAACAGGTTCACAGGTTGAGTATAATGATTTGCATACTGTATGTCTATAAAAGGTCCCCTCTCGACAGCGTTCTCAAAATACCACCTCCACAATGATCACTCGGTAACACACTTATCAGCTATTTCTTTTTAATCTATAAGAATAACATGTCAGCACCTTCTCTCAAGCTGAATTCAGCCCGAACACATGTTGGATTCTGCAGTAATCAGGACGCCTGATGGATAGGAAGCTGTTTTTGTTTATGGAGAGTGTGAGCTTGTGCCATCTGCTTTGAGATTAAACACCACGCTCTGATGGAATACATAAACACCCATCAAGCTCAAAGCAGCCTGCTTAAGACACTCATAAACACTCATTTTAACCTACTTACTCCCCACATACACACTTATGGAAGCAAGAGTGTTAAATATGACCAGAGCCGCCATGGGCACTTCTCTTCTAAGGCAAGAGAGCTACAGTCAGCGAATTATAAATAAAAGCACACACACACATGCACACACACACACAGAAAAAAAAACATAATAATGTTGTTCTGAATAATCAAACACTAAATGGAGCCCACAGCCAGTTGCTTAAAAGGGCGCTGTAATCTAAATTAAATTGAAAGTGAATGCTAATAATTAATGACACAAGGGGTGCATAAAATACTTTAAGGCAGTGGAAATTAGCTAAGCTAAGCTGAAAGCTGAAAGTAGCTTGATGCACTACAACAAATGAGGCAAACAAAGCTTGTTGGTTGTTTTATGAACATTACATAAACACAAACACAAACATATGCTTGAAAAGTGAAAATTTTAACTGATGATACACAAGTCTTCAAGTACGTCCAGGGTTCTATTTGTTCTGTTTCACAGTTGTCTTACTGTTTTATGAAATTTCACTCAGCTGCCATTTTGATACGCCTCCCAGGGAAGTGTGGAAACACCAAATTCTTCCAAACTGTTTGCCAAGCTCATGATTAAATTTCATGTGTCAAATCAGCGATAAAATGACACAACAACTCTCTCTTAAGTTTAGTTTTTTTAGTTTTTAAATCACAATATTTGAGTTTTTCAGGTTGCCCAATGCGCATGCCCTCTCGAAGGGAATGAGATCACACCAAACTCCTTTTTCTGTTTACATGTTACCCAACATCATACTCTGAATGGTTTTCTGATGCAATTTGCCATCAAGACCAACTTGGTCTTGATGTCAAATCTCCTCCCGAAATGACAATGACTTCTTTGTTTATAAGTTTGTGGGCATTCTAATAGTTGCTGTCATGTGATATACTTTTGAAAGGACAGACTGCACCTTGCGTTTGTTTCATACAAATTACAAAACCAGATAATATTTGTTTAAAGTGTAGTTGATTCGTTTAAAATTAGAGATTTAAAGCTTATGTGGATAAATGGCATGGGCCGGTATAAATTTCTGACGGCATAATAACCTTGGATAAAAATACCTAAGTTTCAAGGTATCACGGTATTGTGATTACTGCTCTAAAATCTAAAATAAGTACTTTTTACATGTCGGAGAAAAAACAACAACTTTTTTTAAAATATATTTTTTAAGAAATAATTTTGCCCTCTTTATTAGTTTCAAAAACAGATTTTGTTCAACACAAAAAAATACATTAACAAACTCTTATGCACTGTAAAAAAAATTCCGTTGTTTTTACAAAAAAAATTTGGCAGCTGTGGTTGCCAGAATAATTTTGTAAAAAATACAATAAAAATGTAAACCAGTTTACAATTTAAAACTGTATGTGTACGGAATAATTATGTAAAAAACAATTTAAAAATTTGTAAAATTTACAGAAATTTTGTGTAAGAATAAATAACATTTTTAGTATTTAAACAAAAAAATCTTGTTATTTTTACAAAAAATATTTGGCAGCTGTGGTTGCCAGAATAATTTTGTAAAAATTACAATAAAAATGTAAACCTGTTTACAATTTAAAACTGTATATGTACAAAATAATTATGTAAAAAACAAATTAATATTATGTAAAATTTACAAAAATTTTGTGTAAGAAATACTTAAATTTTTAGTATTTAAACAAAAAATCTTGTTGTTTTTACAAAAATATTTTGGCAGCTGTGGTTGCCAGAATAATTTTGTAAAAATTACAATAAAAATGTAAACCTGTTTACAATTTAAAACTGTTGAACATAAAGAACAATTACGTGAAAAAACAAAACAATATATTTACTAATTAATACTATTTATTAAAATTAATAATTACATTAATATCTAAAAAAAATCTGGCAGCTGTGGATGCCACAATAATTATGTAACGAAAATACATTTTAAAATGTAAACAACTTAACAGCATAAGATCATCACTTTAGTCAATTGTGTTTATTTATAATATTTTAAGAAGACCAATGTTGTTTCGTATAATGAACATAGTTTAATTTCAGTAGCAACTGTAAATCATTTGCTTTACCCTTGACCATGCATGAAAACGATAACTTGTATGTTACACAGTACCTAGGGATATAAATTCTAGATATGCATAGATCATAGAAACTGCACTCAAAGACAAAGTAATCCAACTATAATTTGTATTTATTAACCATAAACAAGTCAACACTGTCTGTCAGTTTGCAACACAAATTTCTATTACTTTCCTTACAAACGATACATTCACCTTTTAGAGAGCATGTGACAGTTTAATAATTGTCTTCTTGAAAACAAATAAGGAAAGTTATAGGCAAAGAGATGGGAGACATTGCCAGTAAAACTAAAATTGAAATGCCAATAAAATGAAAGACTTTTTAGTAACACTTTATAATAACTACACACTATGAACCATTTATTAAGCATTAGCAAATAGTGAATTCATTAACTGTTAAGCATTAACTCTACAATGATAAACGTTAGGAAGCAGTTTATATATATATACGGCTACAAATACTGTTTTCTTGACTTATAAGCACACTAATATGTGCTTAATAACTGTATTTTCATCATGTGTGGGTGATTGATTTTTCATGACTAAATTAAGTATTGCATTATTTACAAACCATTTGTATGAGTAATTGGTGATATTTAAGATCATTGAGAATGAGTTAGTAAATAATTAATAAACTATTGAAATCAATATTTATATATTGTATTATTCAGGCATGTAGTAATGGTTACTATGTATGTTAATAAATGCTTTACTGACTCAACTTAATGCAGTTTTGTAACCTAACCTAAAGTGAGGACTATTTATGCTTATAAATCCCTTATAAATGATAATTAAAGGCTCATTATCAAATGAACAACACATCCTTGCAATCTTATTTTAAAAATTTAATTACTGTAAAGTTTAAACATTGCCGAATAACAGGAGTGTCAAAATTTAACATAAAATTGGATTAAAAAACAATATAATTTAACAATATAATAGGATGCAACATTTCAATGTTATGTAGCAATGTTTAAACTCTACAGTAATTTTATTTTACACAAGATTGCAAAGATTTATTTTCATTTGATACAGTTTCATTTGTGTTTCTTCAAATTAATAAAAAAAAATCCTGTTTAGAATTTAACTGAGCCTTGTCATTTATAAGGGATTTATAAAGCATAAATAGTCCTCACTTTAGATTAGGTCACAAAACTGCATGAAGTTGAGTTAATAAAGCATTTATTAACATACAAATTAACTATTAGTATATGCCTGAATAATATTTATAAATGTTTATTTAAATAGTTAATTAATCATTAACTTACGCATTCTGAATGATCTTAAAAAACCACCAACTACTCTTAAATAACTGCTTTGTAAATAATGCGATACTCAATTTAGTCATGAAAAATGAATCATGAACAAAGTATGAAAATACAGTTATTAAGCACATTACACATGCTTTTAAGTCAAGAATACAACATTTTTAGCCATTATTATAAACTGTCTACTAATGTTTATTAATGTAGAGTTAATGCTCAACAGTAAATTAATCCATTATATTTATTAATGCTTAATAAATGGTTCATAGTGTGTAGTTATTATAAAGTGCTACCAACTTTTCTCTTAAATCGGGTTAAGAACATTTAACAATTGTTTTATAAACAAATATTCAATACAAACCAACAATTCAGGAATAACTTAATTCAGAAAACACTAGAGCAATAAAAACTCTAACAGTTGTGTAATAACACATACATTAAGCATGGCAGATCAAACAAACCTGAGAAACTGGCATTCACTGTATGTCCAAACCTGACTGACTTCAGTCCGTATTTAGACATCACGCCATTCATGATCGGAAAGTTCCTGAATCAAGGTAAGAACTCTTGGGTTCACATGAAGACGGGCTGTGTTTGTCTTCTCCACTTTAGTGCCTTTCTCTGGGTTGATAGAGAAGAAACACCTGAGCAAAAAAGAGAAAAAAATGAATTGTATTAATGATAAAAAAATCTTATGTTTTTGGGAAAATCTTCTTTTTTGGGGAAAAATACCTTTTTAATTGAAATTATAATTTTAATTATAATTAATATAATAGAAATTTGTCAACCTGTACATATAAACCAGGGAAAAGAAAACCTTGCATTAGCAATTTAGGTCACTTCAATGTTGTATAAAGCCTGTACAAAAACACATACCTCTGCAAAAACTCCAAGGTTGATGCCAGCTCTGATGGGTAATGGATGTTGAAGCAATAATAGCTCCCAAACATCATGCACAGGGCGGAAATGAAGGAGGGGATGTTGTCATGTACAACAGTTCGATCCACACACAGCATGAAACGCTTCGATGAAAAGCAGGATTGGCCTTAGAAAAAAGTTAAATAAAAGTTAAATTTGGTATTTAATTATAATACCATAAAAGTAAAAAATACAAACAAATTAAAAAACCTTTACAAGATTTATTTGTTACAAATATTTCAAATGAATGTACAATTAACAATACTTGAACAATGCTGAACGGTCTATTAAACGTTATCATGACATTCTTTGATCTTGAAATACATAATAATGTGAGTAACAACAAATAATAAATGCCATATAAGTACTGTTGTACGTTCATGATTACTAATGGTAACAAATTTATTGTTATTGTAAAGTATGAAGCTAATAATATACGAAAACAATCTGAATTTGAATTGTGTTCATTTAAATTATTTGCTATTGTAATTTAATAAATCTAAATTTTTATATGCCGTAAAAAAAAATTGAATTTGAATTTCTTAACTTGAATATTGAACATCTGAAATTTAAGACAACTGAATTTTTCTATAGACGTATTTTCATAGACTGCAGGTATCCAGTTTGTGAAAGTAGTTTCAAGTCAGGATAAAGAAATTCCAAATATCATATTCAATATTATAAAATTTTAAACCAGAAATTCAGATTGTGAAATTCAGATTCAGCAGAAAGTAGGTGAGGGGTCATCAACGGAAGAGTAGACGATCACTGAAAAGTCAAACTAGGAATCATTCACCACGAGGGTGGGGGTTTGGGGGGTCTGGAAATAGGTCAAAATAAATGTTATTTGTCGACATATAGCCTAATGTAAAATTAAACTCATGTATTTTAGCTTTAAGTATGGGGAAGGATGCTTTCAGTTTCGGGTTACATAAAAAAAACGTTGAAAACTCATCAAGTGGCTTTCACTGTACACTTTTCACAACAATATAGACTTATTAACACCTCATGTTACCATTTGAACAAAAAGTTTTAAGCACTTAACAAATGAGGCTAACAAAAATCTCTGAGCAAGTAATTCACAATGAGTCACTTAATTCATTTATAAATAAGCCGAATCGAACACCTCTGAATGAACAATTCAGTGACAAAGATAGAGGTTTGGTGCCACCTGTTGGACATTTTGGTTTCAATGTATTTTAGCCAAAAATAATGCGATATTTTTAAATATATGGAAAATCTGATAATTTAAATAAATATAAATGTAAGGATAAATATGACATCTTGGATGTGAATAGATGATTTTTAAAAGAGGCAGCATTTCAGTGTTGATGATAGACTTTGGCCAAACATTAAAATCTTCCTTAAAATACTATACTATATACTATATAGTAAAAAGCATGTGCATGCAAATATGTCATTTACCACAGCTGTAAAACGCAGGGAGTTTGAAAATGCAGGCAAAAATGAAAAAATAAAATTTATTAAACAACGAGATGTAATTGAATTAAGTATATGAATTTGGTTCACTGAAGCATGTATATATTTATTACACAAACTAGTGAAAATAGCTGACCCTGATAGTCAGTTTGCAGAAGAATTGTGTCCTCCTGAGCCTCACATACACCAGGCTGTAAACTCACGCAGCTCTGTAAATGAGCTTTAACTTTTTGGTGATCGTCTACTCTTTCCTGTCGATGACCCCTGACCTTATTTCTGCTGAATCTGAATTTCACAATCTAAAATTCTGGTTTTGAGTTTTATATTACTGAGTTTGATGTTCTGAATTTATTTATCCTGAAAACTTGATACTGTACTTTTATAAACTGGATATCTGCAGTCTATGAAAATACGTCTATAAAAAATTTCTGCCTTGAAAATTACAGTTGTCTTAAATTTTAGATGTTCAATATTCAAGTTAAGAAATTCAAATTCAAAAAATTAATTCAAATTCAAAATTTAACGGCATATAAAAATTCTGATTTATTAAATTACAATTGTCAATAATTCAAACAAAAAAATGCAGATTTTTTGTCATATTTTAGCTCCATAGTCAAGCATTAAAAAAAAATTTATAGCAAAGAAACAAACAAATAAACTTACCACACACAACAAGTGTTGGGGTCAAATTAACTTTGTCCATCTCTACCTCTTCTGCGAGGCATGTGTCCTCCACATGACAGAACATAGCATCTTCCTTCTCATTGAAGTAGGAAAGCAAAAGCATCAACATCTCTTTCACATCTTCAGAGCAACCACTTAGCTCTCCCCTCATCACTTTAAACTTTGTTAAGTCCTGCAGGAACTTTTTGTTTTTGTTCACACCAACTGTACTGAAGTAGTTTAGGAGTCGTTTCCCCTTCAAGTCCAGATTCCGGGTGAAAGTTTCATTAAGACCAATTCCGGTAAGCTCCTTGTAGTGAACTGCCATGCCAAGCTCATTAAACCACCATGGCCAATCCTCCAGGAGACATTTTATATTCTTGCCCTGATTTACTTGGTTACGTTGTGTGTAGAAAGTCAATTTCATTAGATGTCTGACTTCTTCTGCATCTGCATCAGTTTGACGAGACATTATCTTCATTTTCTCTTTCTTTTCCTCCTGGCTTTCAGAGGTCTCTCCCAGTGGCAGGAATTTTACATGCCAGTTAATGCATCCATATGTATCCTGAATTGCTGCCCTCTTTTCTGGAGGAATTTCATCCGTGTCAGAGTCATCAGTCTGATGTCTTCGTTTTCTTATTTTGGGTGTTGTAGATCGCTTCACATTTTCAATCCTATACTGCAATTGCTTCACTAAAGAATGGTACCCTGGCCCAACCACATCCCCCTCTATTACATCCAGGAGAGACTCTGGATACTTTGCTACCATCTTTTTGGCAACTTCAGTAGAATTCCTTTTATTTGGGCATGAACATTTTCGCATCATCTCGTTTACCACAATCCGGACCATCTCTCTTCTCATTCGTGGACTTGGTCGTTTTCCTCTCTCCAAAAATTGCATTAGTTCCTGAGGAAATTTATCCCATGGTATCAGAAACGTATCCACCCAGTCTACATCTGGGCTTTGGGAGATGCTGGTGGAGGATGATTGAGAACTTGCAGGTGAACTATGCAAGGCTGTGGAAGGTTGTGGTGAGCTGCTTGTTTCTGGTGTCTGGCCTGCAAAAGGTCATACACAAACAATAGTCATTAACACAAAGTTTTTTTTATTTTATTTACATTTTCTTTTCAAGACCTTTTTACACATGTAACTTTGTGAACTTGTCTTGGAGTATTCTGTTCTGCAACACATGACTTACATCTTAACTTCCAAGCAGCAAGGACTTTTCGAGCTTGGATTGGCCTTAATGCCGTTAGCAAATCAGATTCCTCAATAAACTTAAAATCATCATATGTCTCCACTCCAATGGATTGCAATGTCTCCTCTAAAATGTCTTTTGTTGCCTCTGGAAGGTTAGGCAAGACCTCAGTGATGGCAGTACGTAGAAATGTTGTCTCCAAGTCAGTCATTACTGAAATCAATCAAGTAGTGATTAAACATGTAGTTATTAAATTTATTAAGAGTTTATTTCTGTTCATCTAATTGCAAATAAAACAAAAATCTTACTATTTTCAAGAGGATAGATCACAACATTTTTTTAATTTAAAATCTATAATTTATTTATCCTTGACATATATTTTATACCAGTTTGAGTTTTTTTGAGACAACATTTAAAAGAATGTTGGAAACTTGTAACCATAGACTTCCATAGTAGGAAAAAATACTATAGAAGTCAACAGTTAAATTATCATCTTGAGAAAAAAAATAAACAAATCCCAAACAGGATTGAAAAAAAAAAGTCAAGGGTAAGTAAATGATATCAACATTTTTTATTTTTGGAAAAACTATCTCTTTAAACTACATGTTATTTTATCTAAGCATACATGATGATTTTTAGTATATTTTTTTCACTTCTGTGGACAAGATCTCTTTACTTCGACAGCACGCTGTGTTTCAGCGTAATGACTTGGTACCCATTAACAATTTATAATGTTAAATAAAAATCAACCAAGTCATTTATGCTAAGACACTGTAGCCTGGTACTCTGTTTAGTCAGAATACAGATGGTATTCAAAATGATATTCAGCTTTTTGTATTCCCATTACAAAAAACACAGCTTCGTCATTTTGGATTAAAATGATGAGAAGTTGAACTCATCACTTTTAGACACAAGAAAATGTCCCTTTTTGTATGACATTCCTTTATAGATTATTTCTGTGGACACAGTAGTATTAAAGTCTGAAAAGTTAAATTCTCTCACTGTATGTTTAATTGATTCACTGTAAAGACTTGGGTAAAAAGTGTAACTGTCTTTGACATGCAACAGAAAACAGAGTTTACCTTTATTTCTTTGATGTCTTGACTGTCTTAAGATCGTAAATCATGAACAGCAGAATCATAAGTTTCACGGGTGCGCTGTGGACCACAAACATTTGGGTTATCACTCTGAAATTCATTTCTTGTTATTTCACAATACCTGCAAAAATACTGAGCACAATACTGAAATTTTCAGTAAACCCACCAATGGCATGTGAACGCAAATTATCACCACCAGCAATACAATACAGTGCACCTTTAACTACGTTACCACCTACAGCTATTCCATTTTCCTCCAAATCTTTTAAATCCACAAACAGCTCTATTCAGTATAATTCAGTAGTTTCAGGTGTTGTTACATCATTTGAAACAACACATTCATGACAGTGGACGACTGAGAAACAGTTTTCCTGTAAATGTCACTTACAGTATTATTTGAGGCAGCTCTATGCTTCCTGGACATGTGAGATGTGAAAGACGATTTAATTGTAAAAGTATTTTTGCAACCCGTTACTGGAAAAGCCACAGGTCGGCCTTCTGCTATATGCGCTTTTAAGTGGCATTAAATCTTCAGCCGTGTTAAACGTGAGGTCACACAACGAAATTTAGAAATTTAAAATCTGCAACTGCTTTAGCACTAACGGTTGATGCAGACTCATTGTGAAATGTGCTTTAAATGCAGCGTAAGAGCAAAATGTTCGCTTACAGCCAGCACTAACATAATTGAAAAATCAATAGGAGTTCGTTACTATGAACTTTACAATGCAACACATAGCCTCTCAGTGTCTCGAAGGTTTTGTTGCAAAAATTACACGTGGTTAATCATCTTTAGACTTCGAACAAAAAATGTTTTTTTTTTCAGCTTTACGTTAGTTAGACGATAAGACAAGGAGCCGAGTTACCTTTGCATTGTGCCACTCATTATTATTTCGACGACCGTGCAACACCCCAAATAATATCCTCTCCCTTTTTGCAGGTGCTTGTATGATAAAGCGTTTAAAGTACAAAGTAAACGAACTTTTCACTAAACTTACCACAGTGCCTCAGTAGTTAGAAATGTTGGCAGACGTCATCCACAGCTTCATTCGCGGGCCGGACAGATGGAGCGCGCGCACTCACTATAAACGTCTGTAAAATGGCTGCTCCCGCAAGAATCAGATAGCCGATTAGTCATTGGACAAGGCAGAACAGAGTTTGAAATTCAAACGCAGACGTTAATTTACACAAAAGCATACATTTGAACTATAAACACATCGCTGTCACATTTTAAATAACAACAAGACATTTATATTTTATTAATTAAATTATTGTTTTAAAAAAATAATTAAAAAATTATATATATATATATATATATATATATATATATATATATATATATATATATATATATATATATATATATATATATGTTGTTAAATACAGTGGATTAACAATTACATTTTACATAGTGTTCAAAAATAAAGGACCCTTAGGGACAAATAACCATTATCTTTCCATAGGCCAACATTAAATATGATAATTATCAATAAAGCCTAATATTAAAATAGCTTATATACTATTAGGACAATTCTGAACAGACACATTGCCTTTAAAACCCATCATTTAAAACTTGTAAATATGTAATGATATATGTAAGGAAAACATGATTTGGTTATTTTGTGATTGGTATACTTGTGTACACATGCTTTTTTTAATCTGTAATAGGATGATTTTAGTTTGTTTAGTATCAATTTGTAATTTTTACAGCAGCTTTCAGTATTACATGTTTGCACTATTCAAATAACAGTGATCAGTAAATTTTACAAATAAACATTGTTATTAATACACATTCTTACAGTACAATTAACAGTTTAATTTGGTTCAACGTTTTACAACTGTATTTTTATTTTTTACAAAACCATACTGTAAATTTAACACTGTTTCATTGTTTTTCTATTTACAAAATTTAGATGTCACAATTTTACAGAATTTTACAGTTATTTTCACAAACATTTTTTACAGTGTGTATACCTTAGAAACGGTATAACAGAACATTTTAAAATATTGTCTTTACCAAACAATGGTAAACCTTGAAACCAGTTATCGTCCCATGCCTAGTGGATATATTTCTCATGTCTTTGAAGCAAGTTTTCGCTGAGATTCCAGTGCGTTTGCTGACCCCAGAGAGTTCATAACAACTTCAGAAACTGTCATTAAAAATATACGTCCAACCCAAGCTCCTCCTCAAAGAATCGTCAGTCTATATTGATCAATGATTGGCTCCTGTATTAAAAGGCGGGGCTTCATTCACCATTTTTCATAAACACTTATTTCAAGCTACTTACTCAACACATTTGGGGATTCGTTTGCCAATAAACACGCTCATCTCACTAGATTTGCACATGTTTTAGATTTGTGCATATTTTTGGGTATATCATGGTTATATGAGAGGGGCTTGACGAATCAGGGAGAGATATGCAATAGTGCAAGCATTTAATCAAAGAGTGATTGTAGCTAGCCATGCCTCTTTTTTGAAAGACTGCATCTTTGTTAATTTATACTGTAACAGATCCCCAGCATTTCCAAACAGCGTTTTCAAAACATTTGTTTTTGAGGGTCCAAGATGCTGGAGTAGTGTGAATGCCAGGCATAATCATAACAAAATGTATGCATCTTAAAAAAATAGGCAGTGTGTGAGTTGTTTTAAAGATTTAAATACATAGATTTAAATCAATTTGTAGCTGGCTTAAACCTACAGCAGGGGTGCTCAACACTGTTCCTGGAGATCTACCTTCCTGCAGAGTTTAGCTCCAACCCTGATCAAATGCAACTAAACCAACGAAATAGGATCTGAAGAAGGACTTGGTAATTAAAGGCAGGTGTGTTTGATCAAGGCTGCAGGTGAGCTCTGCAGGAAGGTCTCCAGGAACAGTGCTGAGTACCCTTGACCTACAGTATAGGCATTTATTTGGCTTTGAAGTCTGATTATTAACAGTAAAACATTTGTAATGTACTGTAAGGAAATATTATTGGCATTATGATTTTTACAAAAAATTAATTTAACTATTACTAATAATATTTGTTTCGTTTTATACAGGTCTGATAACATTTATACACAATTTTCCAGAAAATGCCTTTAATTATGTAGCGTGTTGTAGACTGTTTGTCTTTGTTTACAAATTGTTTAACGTTATTTATTTTTTACTTCTTGTACTTTATACTTGTATAATGTCCATTGTAGTTTATTAAATCTGGTAATCAAAGACACAAGTCTGTGTATAATAACCCATTTCAATCCACATTTATGGTTATTTACGTTTATATTTTCTTAAATCAAAAATATTTATTCTTGATATTATTATAGTATTAATTATAAGGCTGTACTTTATATAAGTCAATCATTTTATTGTTAATGTACAGTGAAACCGATAAATCCATGGTGAGGTAAGTGACGTTATAAAGTACACTGCTGTTCCATTTGAAGAAGTACCTGACTTGTGTCTTCGCGTCCTCAGGAGTTCATTCTTCCAAGTCAGAACTTGGCAAATCAGAATTCCCAAGGATGCAAGTTCGAACTTTGGTACTTGGTAATGAGAAACAGCCATTGCCATTTAATATTCTCTACTTCTCCAGAAAATGACATTTGATCAAAATAACTTTTTTTTCGATCTGTTATGATTGAAATGCAGGGATATTTAATCAAATATTGCTTTTACCCTCCTGACATTGAAACATTGGTTGTGTCATCTTAAATAATAAATTGACTATAAACAGATATAAAGAATGTAAAAAGGTCTGAAAATATTGCACATATTTGTTATTTTGGCAATTATCATTGTTTGCTCTCAATGACAACTTTTTTTTTTAATTTAAAAGAAATATAATCAGTAGTTTACAGAACAAAACAAACGACAGCTATAAATTTAAACTTTTAATTATTAATTTTATAAATTATCAAGCTTCCAAAACAACTTGACTGTAAAACAATAGGTAAATAAATAATTAAATAACATTTGTCCGCACTTTAATGCTATGTAATACAGTGAATACAACTGCTTTTTATTGCAAAATGACTTTTTATAACAAAATGATTTAAAAAATAGCTACACAAAAGCCCAAAAATGGTGAGAAGAGATGGTTGAATAAAAGTGAATGAGGACAGGGAGCTCTGGGAAGGTCTGATGGTGATGTGACCTACATGTTTTGTCCCACAGATGAAACAGAGCATCGTGCTTGAAACTTTCACATTTTTAATTCCCCTTCTGTCTCTCACAAGCCATATGGGTGTCTTGAACATGCTGTGAACAGTCACAAGAAGACCAAACACATACGAGAGCTTCATGCATATGAACTACACGATAGAACCCCAGCATTAAAAAAACTAAATAAATACAATAATAAATGGCCTGGATTCTGAATGAAATGCTATATGACAATGCATATATCATTTAGATGACATCATTAGCACTTTATCAGCTTTGTAAGAAATGTTTCAGGATTTTCAATACACAATCTCATTTGTAAATATCATCTAAACTTGAAAAAAAAAAACAATTTCATAGTGATAAACATTGAGTGATTATGTTTCATTATCACCATACTGAAAGCCGAGTGTTAAATCACAGTGAAAACAGCATGAACGACAGCAGGACAAAAACAGCTTCTGTTGGTATGTTTTATATAATTTGATAATTTAATGGTTTATCTATATCTCTAAACGCACAGTAAAATCTTTAATTACACATACAGAATAGAAACATACAGAGAAAAACATATAGAGAAAGTAGCCGACCTGCTTGTTTCATTGTTGATGTTCAAACACAGATAGAAAGACAGAGAGCATAAAAGCAAGGCAGCAGATTGGGGATAAAACAAGGTCAGGGGTGACCGAAATCATAAAAACCAAACGCTCTGCTTCTGTCCCACAAAAACACCATCGGTTTCACAATGACTCTCTCACACACTCAAATACACAATCGGTGCTGCTGAAACAATTCTATAAAAGTGTTGGAATGCTGCTCTTGGAAAATAAATGTATTTCTTTGTATGGACAGTAATCTTGAAATGTGAGATGCAATTCTAATCAGATTATTTTTAAAAGTTTTCTAAAAACCTGTGTTAAAAGAGCAGTGGTTAAAGAGAAACTTTTCAATTTTCAATGTAGTTCAACTTTTGCCACTGTGTGGATTAATACCGAATATGTGTCCTTGTTATTACTTGTGGCTAGTGTCAAGAATAGAGTATATGCTGGTGTTTAACTGCATTGCTTAAATGCATTCCTGCATTGGGCTCACACATATACCCTGTACTCTGAGTACTTCATATCTGCAATAGGTGTTTTTTTTTTCTGCTTCACTCTGAACCCAGTCAACCAATCACAACAGACTGGTTCATTGGACCAATCACCACAGAATAACAAAGGAGAGGTTTGGAAACAAATTAATCGCTGAACAAATCATATGAGAGTCGTTGGGATGATTAGGTAAAAATAAATGCATATTATAAGACAATAAAAATGTTTTTTGATCTTGCATGCATATCAGCCTGTTGCTGGAGACCCCCAAAACCAAAATATGACCTTTTATAATGCATAATAGGGGCTCTTTGACAAAATATTTGACAGAGAATACAGAAAAGGTAAAGATGAAATGCAATCAAATAAGTGAGTGAATTGATTTATTCATGAACGGACTCACTGACTTATGTTTGCAGCTCTTCCAGACTTCAGTGATACACCAGCACAAGAACCAGCTTACATTTTTTTGTCAAATTAATCACAGAGATTAGTTCAATTCATGTGAAATGTTAATTTTATAAACATAAATAATTTTAATTTTATTAAGTTTATTATGTTAATTTTATAAACATAATAAACATAGATAATGATGCATTATTATGTTCAACTATTTACCGCTCAAAAGTATGAGGTCAGTGGGATTTTTAAATGTTTTAAATAAGCTTCTCGTGCTCATAAAGGCTGCATTTATTTTAGCAAAAATACAGTAAAAAATTGTACAATTGTGAAATGTTATTGCGCTATAAAATAACTGTTTAAAAGTAGTTTATAATTTAATAAAAAAACAAATTCCAGTGATTTTAATGATGAATTTTCAGCTTCATTACTACAGTTTTCAGGGTCAAATGATCTATCAGAAATCCCTCTTAAATTAAACATAATAATAATAATAATAATAATAATAATAATAATAATAATAATAATAATAATAATAATAATAATAATAAATTTAGATTAATAATTTTATTTGAAATTACATAAAATAAGTA